AAGAATGTGTTTCTCTTGCCTTTTCGTCGCTAGAGTGGGCCCGTCACATTTTTCTTATTCCGCCAGTTCCACTTTTTCTTAATCCAATGCAATTAATTTTTATTTTAAAGGTTTCCATAAAATTATTTGTTTTCATTTTTGAGGCATTTCAAGGGAGGTTTTGTGACTTAAGTTGTAAAAATACAAGCTTTTTTAAACAGTAGCTCCAGGTCGAGATAAAATTGCTATTTCTAAATTTCATATTGACTTACATGTAGCATGCTAAACGTGTACAATTCATTTTTAATACTAATTGTTCAAATACCTCAGCATAATTCAAATATCAAAAAGCGACTCCTCTCAACTTGTTGTTTATCGCTTATAGAAGGCCCGGCTGTTATATACTGTACGCCGTGAAAGTAAAACAACCGTGCGTAAAAAAAGTGTTCCAGATATAGACCAAGGTTCGACTGTGATATTCAATACAGCTAACGGGACTTCCTCTATCCATGCTAAGAGGGGTATTAATTTAGCTAATAGTATCATGGTTTGAATAGATATGCACCGAGCTCCAAAAGGTTTTCAAAACAGTCCATCAGACATCAACTTAATCGCGGACCTGGAAATGCATGCACTTTTTCTGCGGATTCTAAAATGACAAAAGAACAGAGTTCTAATGTCCCCGAGTTGCAAATATTTTATCTGTCCAAAGGCAATAACAAAAAACTAATTAGCACTGATTTTCGAACTTGATCGAGACATTAGCGGTATAAACCTTTGATGTGAATTTCATAAAAATAAGACAAGAAAAGTACACGTGAGAGCTTTACAAGACCGGACGAACGAACGTAAAAACGGACTTCTATGTCTCCCGCGCGAAGCCAACTTACATGTTTAATTTTCAGCGCTCACCTGCTTCAGGTGAATGAAATGATGATGTCAATAAGATGCACTGCTTCCGAAATCGTTAAAATTTTCCCAATATATAGTTGAACGTTGTTAAATAGGCATTTGGTTATCAGCCAAATCAGGACAACCGCTCATACTCCTAAGCTAAATAAATTAGGATTATTATACACAATATCTATCAAAATTGGTATAAAAATTGTAACTGTATGCATTAATTCGCAGATGGTTAAAAATTATACAATATTTTGTTGGCAACAGTACTTAACCGATATTCAAATATCATGAACCGATGACGAAGATACAAATCCAAGGAACAAACAAGAACTGAGGCATAAAAGAGGGTCTGGTTGGGGGTGGGGGCTTCATTTCTGTATTCTTTATACTTTCATTCAAACGCCGAAGAAGATATTACGTAGCCAAAGTGTCAAGAAGCAAATTTCTGAATGACAATTGTGTCGGACATACATTGTTCGTCGTCATCATATGCGCCAGTAAACATGTTAAACACCACCACATTCTGCATATTCTGTATGTGTCTGTCCCAAAGTCAGGAGCCTGTAATTCAGTGGTTGTCGTTGGTTTGCTGCGTATCACATTTGTAATCATTCCACATCTCCCTATTACACGGAACCGTACATGTAGCTATTATGGTCCTTATGATATTTTATTGAGATCCATGGTCCGCATATTGTCAAAAAAATATAATTAGGACCAGATCTATGGTCTTCTTATTGTCAACAAATATCATAAGGACCTGATCTATGGTCTGCAAATTGTCAAAAAATATCATAAGGACCTGATCTATGGTCTTCAAATTGTCAAAAAATATCATAAGGACCTGATCTATGGTCTGCAAATTGTCAAAAAATATCATAAGGAACATAAGTGCTACGGAACAACATAAGAGCTACGGTTCCGCAGCACTTATTTTGTTACATCCTCGTTCTTAAGTCTCTGGTGGATCATTGCCTCATAAGTAATAATACCACATCTCCTTAGTTTTCAGTGGCGGATCCAGAAATTTTCCTAAGGGAGGCCCACTGACTGCCTAAGTTGGGCCCCGCTCCAGTCATGTTTCAGTGATTCCCTAAAAAATCAACCAATTTATTCCAACAAAGGGGGGGGGGGGGGACTAGGCCCATTCGTCCCCCTCTAAATCCACCTCTGGTTTTACTAAATACATTACACCTACATATATCAGCTGATCAGTAAAATAGAAGTGACTTGTGTAATAAGTCTAAATATACATATTACGGGGGACCTCAATATCGTCCAGGACAGAGAGGTTAAACACTTTTTGAAAAAAAGGACCAAAATGTCGTCCTCCATCTAAAATAGATTGAAAACAGTGTCGTCAGGTCACCAAAGATGCTCTTTCCTCGATTTGTAAAAAATGGTGTAAACGGGAAAAATCTGATAAAAAATCTCTTGATTCTTATTTTAAAAAATGTATGAATGTGGTACCTAGATAATAGAATATCACATTTTGAAAATAATTTAGAAGTAAATAGTAGAGTACATACTACGCCTATTTCCAGAATAAGAAATAAACTTCAAGAACTTTCAAAGCGGTTTGTGTTTGTACCGGCCGACAAAGCAGCCAACAATGTGGTGGTGGTATGCCGTAAATACTACACGGACGTTCTTAAGAATGAAATTTTAAATTCATCTACATTCAAGTCCATGCGCCCCACGGAGAGTCATATAGTTAACAAACATATCATAACCACACCACAGCTTAAGGCTTCTTCTGAACATTTGAAGGTCCCTACTATGTATTGGTTACATTAACTACACAAAAAAACAGTAAAATATCGTTTCATCTCGGCCTCTAGTAAGTGTTCTACAACTTATCATTCAGTGCTTTTAACAAGTTCTTTAACTACTATCAAAGAGCTTATCATAAACTATTGTAATAAAATATATGAAAATAGTGGAATTAACTATTTTTGGAGTGTAAAAAATTCTTTGGATATTTTAGATAAATTACGTGCTTTTGATGGTCCTTTTGATTCTGTTGACAGTTTTGACTTTTCTACTCTTTACACTACACTTCCACACAATCTTATCAAACAAAAATTTGACTATTTAATTAAATGGTCGTTTGGTAAATCTGAATGCAAATATATTTGCTGCAACTCATTTAAAGCCTTCTTCTCTAATGAGAAAGGTAAATATGCTAGATATACTTACTGGAGATGTGATGAGATGATTGAGGCTGTTAATTTTCTCCTTGATAATATTTTTGTACGTTTCGGCAGCAAAGTTTATCGACAGGTTGAAGGTATTCCTATGGGCGCTAATTGCGCCCCTTTAATAGCCGACTTGTTTTTGTATTGTTATGAATCACAGTTTATGACCAAACTCAGTAAAGACCCGTCTAAATTGCATTTAATTGATAAATTCAACAACACTTACCGTTATCTTGATGATATTTTTTCGTTAAATAATCAAGAATTTTCTCAATATACTGCCGAAATTTACCCAAAGGAACTTACTTTAAATAAATCAAATTTAAACGGTAACAACTGTCTTTTCCTAGATTTAGATATTTCGGTTTTACACGGGAAACTCCACACTAAAATTAACGACAAAAGCGACGATTTTTCGTTCCCTATTGTTAATTTTACCTTTTTGGATGGTGATGTTCCATTGGCACCATCTTACGGTGTTTATATTTCACAACTCGTTCACTATGCCCGTGTCTGTTGTGACGTTTTTGATTTTAACGAACGTAATCTATGTATTACTGGTAAATTATTAAGCCATGGATTTCGTTACCACAAATTCCTTAAAACCTTTACTAAATTCTTCCACAGATATAAAGATTTGGTTTTGAAGTTTGATTGTACCTGTAGAAAACTTATTTCAAACGGGATTGCACATCCTCATTTTTACGGCAATATTGTTTACCGTGCCCGGAAATTTAGAAACGATCCTGGTAAATCCTTTAAATAAACTTATTCTAAAAGGTTACCAATTCAACACTGTAATTAGATCATTAAATATTGTTTTTATTGGTACTAATATTGATTTTGTTATCAGTAAATTAAAAGCAAACTAAATATTATTGTTATATACATTTACACATTCATGGATCTACAATCTGTCGATACCTAAATCTTGGCATTGCACAAGGTCATGTTTTTCTCCGATTGTTTATGACGTCTTTACACTAAATCCATTGGATGTTGGATGTGTACGGATTGATAATTTAGTCTTAGATGCATGATTTTTTTTATTAGTTGTTAGTGGCTTTGAACTAGCTGTCAGTAACTGCGAGTACTCTCTGATCTGTATACGTACTTAGTGTCTTTTTGTTTTTTGGATGTACAAGTACCCGGCCACGTCCACTTGTAGTATTTGTATTTTTATCCATCTGATGAGTTGAGACTCTTTCAACTGATTTTTATAGTTCGTTCTTATGTTGTACTGTTACACCACTATCCCAGGTTACGGGGAGGGTTGGGATCCCGCTAACATGTTTAACCCCGCCACATTCTGTATGTATGAGCCTGTCCCAAGTCAGGAGCCTGTAATTCAGTGGTTGTCGTTTGTTTAAGTGTTACATATTTGTTATTCGTTCATTTTTTGTACATAAATTGGGCTGTTAGTTTTCTCGTTTGAATTGTTTTACATTGTCATTTCGGGGCCTTTTATAGATGACTGTGCGATATGGGCTTTGCTCATTGTTGAAGGCCGTACGGTGACCTACAGTTGTTAATTTCTGTGTCATTTGGTCTCTTGTGGAGAGTTGTCTCATTGGCAATCATACCACATCTTTTTTTTTTATATGTGTGGGTTTCTATATTCAAATAAAATTGAGAATAAAAATAGGGAATGTGTCAAAGAGACAACCACGTGGAGACAACAACCTGACCAAAGAGCAGAAAAACAGCCCAAGGCCATCAATGGGTCTTCAACACAGTGAGAAAATCCCGCACCTGGAGGCTGGCATCAGCTGGCCCCTAAACAACAATGTGTACTAGTTCAGTGAAAATGGACATCACACTAAACTCCAAAACATATAAATGAACTAAAATTAAAGAAACATACCAGACTAATAAAGGCAAGAGGCTCGTGAGTTTGGACAGGCGCAAAAACATACCAGATGTCACTGAACATTTTTAATGGAAGAATGAGCATGTACCAACGTAATTAAGTAGACAATTTGTTCTTGAAAATAAACAATAAATTACATATAAAAAATGAAAATATTGGTGGTATATATATATTTCAATTCCACAAAAGTTAAGACTCAAAATACATTTTAAAACATTTTTTGCTATGCCTTCACCCACACTATACATGAATATTTATTAATAGACACACAACTTCCTATGCAACACATGAAAATTCACATCGTTTAGTTCAAATGTGAAATGCAGAAAAGTATTTTCACAATAGATGCATTTTATCAGCTTACACTATTGTTCAAGCAGATTTCGTCATGTCAATCATTCCGCACTACTCAACAATGTATACAGTTGACAAAATGAGTTTTTTTTTGCATTCAATGTTTTGCTAATAATCTGGAGTTAAATTAGAGTGGTCTATCATTTAACTCTGATGGGGGTGGGTGAAATTTTTCTTACATTTTGTTTTTTTTTCCTTCTTACTAGGCAAGCACCAAATTATTATTTTTTGTTGTAGGAAGGGCATTATTTGTTGAAGAACTAAACATTCAATGTGATGGCTAAAACTCTCAACAAAATTTTGTTTTTTTTCTTCCTGAACAAAATTTCTGTTCTTGAAAAATGGTAATCATAATTGTTTTAGAAAACAAGACATAACCCCCACCCTCAGATTTAAATGTTCATTCATTCCCTTAGTGGGCAAGATTCCACTGAAATTTTGAAACTTGCATAATCTGTATTTGTATGTACTGGTAAATCATGACTATATATTTATGAAAATGGGGACATTGTAACATCTTAAAAATACATGTATATTATGTTTGTCCAAAAATAAAAAGTGAGCAGTTATTTCAATAACTGTTGGCAATTTGACTCTGTGTTTATGCAAAAAATATATAATACTTATAGAATAACTAATCGAAGAATTCAAATAGAGAAAAATATTCAACAAGTGACCGAACAACACATTAATTCACGAATGCGCGTAGCGCATGAGTTAATTATCAGTGTTGTTCGGTCACGAGTTGAATATTTTTCGATATTTGAATCCTTTGATTAGTTATTCTTTTTATTACATTGGCAAATGGCTTTTTTTAATGACATTAATGTAGAAAATGTAAGGAACTATATCTTTTTTCTACGCATTCACAATTTGTTTTGATCCGACGTTATCGACGTCTTGACAACGCCTATTGTTGTATGACGTCAGAGAGTGAAATAACCACGTTTATTTCACATGTGAAATTATCGGTTTTTATTTGACTGGGAAATCAAAGTAATTCAGGGGCCTCGGTGGCCGAGTGGTCTAAGTAGTTACTACTGTAATCACTAGCCAGTCAACACTGAGGTTGTGAGTTCGAACCCCGCTCGTGCGGGTGCACTCGACTCCAATCTTAATTGACTAGGATTGTCAGTTTTCCTATCGAAGGTCGGTGGTTTTCTCCGGGCACTCCGGCTTCCTCCACCAATAAAAACTGGCCGCCACGAAATAGCCCAAAAGCGGTGCTTAAAAGTGGCGTTAAAATACCAAAAATCAAAAAATCAAATCAATGTAATTCAATGGTACCAATGTAATAAATGTATATATCCGGCAAATTGTGTATTTGATTGATATTTCACAAAATACTTTCTGGAAATTGGAAGACTTTATGGCTTTTTTTTATCTCCCCCCCCCCCCCCCCCTCTTTAACATGTATTAAACATATGTTGTAATTAAACCATGACAGCATATTTTATCATATTTTTAGGACATTTAAGTTTTTGGTATCGGAAAAGCGTAAACAAAATTAAAATAGTGATCTATCAAAAAGTAAACAAAGCATTCATTGTTGAAAAAACATCAACTTTTGTTAATACTTAATATATGAATTAGTAAGAATGAATAAAGAGAACTAATTTCAATGATTTAAATGTTATTGAGCATTCTAAAAATGGGAAGAACTTTTTTTGTAAAACAATAAAAAAAAAAGTAATACATTGGTTACTGTAAAAAAGACAGCATCCTAACAATAGAATGAAAATAGATATACATTTATGATTGCCAATGAGAATAATAATCTACACACCAAAAACCAAAGATATGAACAACAGGATTTTGCAAAAGAGAGGAAGAGGGGCACCATGGAAAAGTTAAGAATTGGACTTGTAAAAGTAAATGCAGTGATAGTATATGCAGGGGTCCACTCCCCACATCACACTCGGAAACAAATAAGTAAATTGTTGAACTACTGAACCCATTATATGAAGTAATTGTATTAAAATATGTACATTCGGTTTGAGGAAATGATTTTTGCCATATCTTGAATATTGTAAGTAAATTACAACGGAGTATAATAATTATTTCAATTTCAAAAACATTATTTCTATATATACTGTAAAGATAAAAAAAAAAAAAACACTTTTACAAAAGTTTTATCACAAATTTAATATCACAACCTTTGAGCACTTTTCTTGCTATTTTTACTATCAATATTTCTGTTATTAATTAAGTAATAATTTTCATCTTAACTAATAAATTCTAATACAAAAAACGTTTAAAAGTTTCGCAAATAAGGCAACATATCTAATTCTTAGCATACACTTTTCAATTTAATTCTATTATAACTGTATACAACCATAAAAACTTAAAATTGATTTTGAGAGTTTGTTTAGACAGAGTTTCTGTGAAAGCTTTAATAAATTACAAACCACAATGAATTTCCCAAACCAATAATACCAGGGGTGCATCAAGGATGTTGCCTTATATTGGGGCATGAAAAATAGGGACAACCTTGCCCTCCAAAAGGTCTATGGCTGAAGCCCCCCAAAGTTCCAGACATTTCAGGATTAACATGTTGTTAACATTTTCTTTCTTTTCTTCTCTCTCTCTCTTTGTACTTTCAATCCATACTTTGACACTGCCAAATCCGCCCCTGAATTCCTTTTTTTTTATTAGTGACATTTTCATCTCTAAATACAAATGCTTTTACTCTCTGCTCCATTAATGAAATTTTCTCTTTTGAAAAATTAGCTACTCACAGCTATGATCAAATGTCTTATTGGTTTACAATAGACTATTTTCATATTACCGACTTTTGACTCCGGATTATATAATTTGTCGACTGGTTCCCTTGGACATCATGGTACCAAGTCAGGTAAGAGCAAGCTAAAGAAGTAAAACCAAGCGTTCAATCGGTACAATTTTGGGGGAAAATTACCTGCTTAACATTTTTTTTTCACTACAAAATCATCGGAAAACAATAAAATTTCCCCTCAAATTACACCGATTATATGTTTGATTTTACTTATTTTGGTTGCTCTCACTTGACCGAGTACCATGAAGTCCAAGGTAAACAGTCGACAAATTATATAATCCGGAGTCAAAAGTCGGTAATATGAAAATAGTCTATTATAAAAAAAAAAATCATACTTTTGAGCTTTATCTTTTAGAAATTTTGTTTTTGAATAATAAGAATTAAACATTAAAATTCATTTTATATATATAACTTCAAATATTATTAATTTTCCCTGTTTTTTATTTTCCTTGTATTTACTCACGGTATAAACATCTTTGACATTTAAAAAAAAAATCTCATTTGACTAGACCATATATAGATACAGTGCCATAATTGTAGTAACATTTGACAAGAGAAATAAAGAACGATTGAAAATGTCACATAAATTGAAATTCATAAAATTAATGTTGTTTATCTTAGTAAACTAATAGTTCTAGGACATTAAGCTGAAAGCAAGCATACATTTTATAAGTGGGGCAAAAAGATGAAATGATTAAAATGTCTTATCTACAATTTTCAATGGAAACATTTATAATCATATACATGTATTAACTAAAGTTAAATTAAATAAATGTTTACGAACAATAAAAAGTACATTTAATCAAACAATGAACTTCAATTTGATAGTATAACTTTAAACTCACTCTGGTACAAGAATATGGTACAAATGATAGATTTGTCTGCACAACCATAACAACAGAATTCAATCATGACCAAGAACTTAATGTTTTACAAAATGTTAGCTTGTTTTAAGCCTTTAGGGAGCTACCTTTTGATTTTTATGGGGGGGGGGGGGGGGGGGGGGGTAGGATGAAAAATTGTGTCCTGCCTTTTTTTCAATTGTAATCTCGGTCCAGTGCCTTTTTATTTTTCACTTTATTCGGTCCTGCCTTTTTTTTTTATTAGTTTATCCTGAATTTTTATACATAATTTGTCATCCTGCCTATCTTTTTTGGCAAGTTGCTCATCCTGCCCTTTTTTTACTCAAAACTTCTGTCCTGCCTTTTTTTCAAATTTCATCCTAGCCCCCCCCCCCCATTAAAATCAAATGGTAGCTCCCTTAGAGAATAACACAAAAAAGGGAAACAAGCTTATCTTTTCTCATAGTCATTCAACTTAATTTATGTGGAAGCTTGACATGGAACATTGAAGGTAAACTCCCAATCCATATGGTGGTGGAATATGTGTACACTCTGAACACTGTTTGTAATCAAGATTTAAATTTTTGCTCATTGTTGATGGTGACCTATATTTGCTTAAATCTACATCCTTTGGTCACTGGTGGGTTCTTGTGTCATTGGCAATCATAACACATCAGGGTCAGAATTGGGGTTCTTCATTTCTGTATTCTTAATTTTTTTAAGCCTTTTTTTCTCCATTCTTTATAAATTTTGACAATTTTTCTCTATTCTTTATATTTTAGCACCCCATTATTCTATATTTTTATTTTTTGGGCTATTTTTCTCCATTCTTTATATTTTTTGCCCTTTATTCTGCACATTACTTTTTTATTCTACCCATCCAGACCCTCACACATCATAATGTGATGACCTGATTTTTATTCTGAATGGCTATGATACCTTGTATTGTTCTAGATCTATTATTGTACATGTTATTAATACTGAGTCATATTTATGTATTAAGAAGAATAATGTTTCAATAAATATCTGTGTATGATAAAATGCCCTATTGTGTCTTCTCCTATATACTGATCTATTTATCTACATAAGCCAATGTTTTATAAATTTGGTAATGTATTTGGGCTGGACAAGAGATAGGCGAAAGATGCCAAAGGGACATTCAAACTCATAAGTAAAAAAAAATTGACAATGCCATGCCAAAAAAAAAAAAATGAAAAACGACCAAAAGACAAACAACAGTATACAAAACACAACATAGAAAAGTACAGACTGAACAACATGAGCCCCACCAAAAACCAGTGGTTGATCTCAAGTGCTCTGAAAAAAATATGCAGATCCTGAACTCAGAAATACTCTCAAATCTTTTTTTAATCATAACAGTTCGCTGATAACTGGGCTCTAGAGAATTTCATTTCTTTAAAGCTTAGACCTTGCACTTTTATTTTCAATGTTTTTGTAGTAAGAGATATAGGTCATTTCAAGATAAAACTGTTTAAAATCTACAAAATTCTTAGGTTTTTGTCCTATATTCACTATTAATGCTGACAATACAAAAACTTTTCAGACTAAAAATGTTTGACAAACAATTTAACATAAATAGCACACATAAACATTGTTAACATTTTTGGATCTGTCTAGTTTTGCATAAATGGAAACAAATATTACCATAACCAAAATATGGCAGATTTATCTTAAGGTGGCACATAACACTACAGGGAGATAACTCTGTGAAAATCAGCTGAACGTTTTAATCAGGTTCTATTGTTAAGGAAATATTAAGCTTCTCAATGATCAAAATTAGTGTTTTTCAAACTGCTATATATCCAATGAAATTTTCACAATAAAGTGTGTGGTTCAAGTTTTTTGAAATATTTATATTTTTGTCAAAGGGTCAAAGCAAATATTTTGTTAAAATTTTATGAAAATTAAATGAGCCAAATTAATTTTAGTCAAGGTGTTTGGTACCACCTTAAATTATTTGATTGATTTTTATGTAGTACTGTATGTGCATGTAAATGAATAATGCTTACTTATTGAAAACTTGTAAAATATGGCACTTATTAATAAGTTAAAAAGCTAGAACTACCAGTAGATTGATTTTGCCATTATTTTGCTATTTCATTACATGACTTGGAAAATCAACCTTAATGATAAAGTAAACATGTCAAATTACAACACTTTAGTTAAGAATTATTAGACTTCTGAAGAAATAAAAGCACTACAGAAAAAAAGGCCAATAATAAAAAATGATCGTTTGACAATCAAGGCCTTTTGCAGTTCTAACATTTTCATTCAGCATGTTCAATATTTTCTCAAATCCCTTAATAAAAATCCATGTCTCAATATGCATATGATATTAGGAAAAATACAGTTTTCACATTTTTTACATAAAAAAATGATAACACAAGAATGATTTCTGGTATAACAATATTGGACTTAAACTACAAATGTTAAATGATGAAAAAAATGGATCTAACTGAAATACAGATCTGGTGTCCTCGCTTAAAATTAACTTAGATCTTATAATTCTCTGTTTTCTATCTGTTGTGAGCTTAGGGATCCTTGAGCTTGTGTAAACAATATTCACCTTAAAAAATTTAGAGGAAGAAATTTCATTGGTTGATGTAATAATTAACAGAACAGGGTCTCAAAAATGTTTGTAAGCAAAGCCTGGACACAGGATCTTGCATCTGTATTTCAATTACAAATGAAAAAAAATGTCACTGGGTTAACAAAATTTGCTTTGACAATATCACATCATATCACAATCATTGAATTGTATGAAACAACATGTATCAATTACTTTGAGCTTTTAGACTGAAACATTGCTGAGATTTCTGTGAAGGTGTCATAAGATATGTCTTCTTTCACTTCAACGGCCCAATGTCCAAATTTTTTGGCTTCTTTAGTATTGTCTGTATCATCGTCGAAAAGGATGACTTCGTTTGGCTTAATAATTTCATGTCTATTTTTGTACAAAGAAGTTAGCACATCAGCAATATGAGCCTCTTTCCCGTTTATTTCGTAATTATTCCTCTCCAAAAAGTCAGATGTGTTCCCTCTCACTACTATTTTCAATGCATCTCTGTAAAAAAAACCAAAAAAAAAAACACTTCAATATATTTTGAACAATATTTTAACACCATTAAACAAGCTTGATACAGCACTGAATTTGGATTGTGATTAAATATTTGACAGAGCTTAGGTTTCTGACACAGAATGAATGTGGTCTAAGAACTTAAAATTTTTTAATTTACCTATTCAAACCATATCATTATTATTTGCTTTTATATATAAATCAGAAATAACCAGTTTAAAATGGAAAATTTGAAAGAAAAAAAAAGGAAACCCCCCCCCCCCCATTTTTTGAACCCCCTTATGATTCATCACCCCCAAACTCAATCCCAGCCTTCCTTTTGTGGTATGGTACCTTGCAGTACAATTTCAGAGAGATCCATACACTTGAACACCAGTTATTGTCTGAAAACTAGAAAAATGCTTGTTTTTTGGCCCCTTTTTGGCCCCAAATTCCTAAACATTTAGGGCAATCACCCCCAAACTCAAACCCAGCTTTCCCTTTGTGATATGGAACCTTGTAGTACAATTTCATAAAGATCCATACACTTACACACAAGTTATTGTCCTGAAACTAGAAAAATGCTTGTTTTTTGCCCCTAATTCCTAAAATTTTGAGGCAATTACCTCCAAAATTATTCCCAGCCTTCCCTTTGTGGTATGGTACCTTGCAGAATAATTTCAAAGAGATCCATACACTTGAACACACGTTATTGTCTGGAAACTAGAAAAATACTTATTTTTGGCCCCCTTTTGGCCCCTTATTCCTAAACATTTTGGGCAATTACCCCAAACTCAATTCCAGCTTTCCCTTTGTGATATGGAACCTTGTAGTACAATTTCATAAAGTTCCATACACTTACACACAAGTTATTGTCTGGAAACTAGAAAAATGCTTCTTTTTTTGCCCCTTTTTGGCCCCTAATTCCTAACATTTTGAGGCAATTACCCCCAAAATCAATCCCAGCCTTCCCTTTGTGATATGGAACCTTGTGGTACAATGTCAGAGAGATCCATACACTTACACACAAGTTATTGTCCTGAAACTAGAAAAATGCTTGTTTTTTGCTCCTTTTTTGGCCCCTTATTCCTAAAATTTTGAGGCAATTACCCCCAAAATCAATCCAAGCTTTCCCTTTGTGATATGGAACCTTGCATTTCAATTTCAGAGAGATCCATACACTTGAACACAAGTTATTGTCTTGAAACTAGAAAAATGCTTATTTTTGGGCCCTTTTTGGCCCCTTTTTCCTAAACCTTTTGGGCAATTACCCCTAAACTCAATTCCAGCTTTTCCTTTGTGAAATGGAACCTTGTAGTACAATTTCAGAAAGATCCATAGACTTACACACAAGTTATTGTCATGAAACTAGAAAACTGCTTGTTTTTTGCCCCTTTTTTGGCCCCATATTTCCTAAAATTTTGAGGCAATTACCCCCAAAATCAATCCAAGCATTTCCTTTGTGATATGGAACCTTGTGGTACAATGTCAGAGAGATCCATGATACACTAACACACAAGTTATGTCTGGAAGTTACAAAAATGCTTATTTTTGGCCCCTTTTTGGCCCCTAATTCCTTAACTGTTGGTACCATAACCCCCAAAATCGTTCCCTGCCTTCCTTTTGTGGTATTGAACCTTATGGTAAAATTTCATAGAGATCCATTCACTTAAACTAAAGTTAGAGTGCGAAAACCAATGTGTCTGCGGACGACAACGACGCCGGATGACGATGACGACGCTAACGTCATACCAATATACGACCGCAAAATTTTTTTGCGGTCGTATAAAAATACTGTAAAGTCAGAAATTAATGCGTGCATTTATTATTGCAAATCCTTGACCTCTGACAAAAATGTGAAACATTATAAATGATTGAAAAGGAAAATCACAACTGACATTATGAATGCAATTTTTATTATTGCGACAATGATACTGTTGCATTTATTGAATTAATAAAAACATTGCAATAATTTCTGAATTTACAATAATCACATTTAATCATTTGTCAATGACATAGTCATGATTGTCACCTTTCTTATGCTGTTTAAATTAATTACGTGTATGGATTTCAACTGTTAAAAACATGCATGCACATTGCACATTCTAATGCATTGCAAAAGATTGTGGATTCCTCTAATGTTTTTTTACCTTTCTGTATGAAAGATACTTTAAAGTTTTACCATCAGATTTGATTGAATGATCCGTGTGGTGTGTTATTCATGCAGAACAGAAGCGTTAATTCTTGCTATTCCTACATTTTAATATCAGTTGTAAGAAATCCACCAGGGACTTTCTATACTAACGCATAGACTGTCCCTGAATTCATGTAGGGATATGAGAAATAATTGATTAAAACAAAGGATTAAATCAAATTAGGTTGTAAAAACATTAACCTAATAATCATGATAATATTAAAACCCCTTTAGTTGTCTTCACCGGCCTTTTGCTTTTGCACCAATTGGCATTTCATTTGTGCCACAAACCATATTTCATTAGCGCAAAATTTATCCACTCTCGACGAGCCTCGCGTTTTAAATTTGAAAATTTAACTGTCTCAAGTGGATAAATATCGTATCACACTCGATGCAGTGGTAGAATCTATATATATTGAAAAAAGACTTTTGATAATTATGTTACAACAAAGTTTTGATAGCACAATGAAATATATATCCATTATGAACCACATTCATCATAATTTTTTTTTTAAATGCTGACATTGTACTTTCTGAGTCTCTGAAACTGTGGTTGACTGTTCGTTTAATGTTTTCATAATGGTTTTGCTGTCAACATATATACGTTGTGATTGTGACTTTGCAACTTTTTGGGGTACATCCATATACATGATAGATGACGTGTCTCCTTTTTCAATAATTTTGTTATTTTGATCTTTCATGTCTGGTCAACTTGACCATGTGAACACTATACAATTGAATACCTATATTAGGGAGCTACCAATTGATTTTTAGGGGGGGGGGGGGTAGTATGAAAAATTTTGTCCTGCATTTTTTTTTAGTTGTAATCTCTGTTCTGCCTTTTTATTTTTCACTCTATTCAGTCCTGCCTTTTTTTTTATTAGTTTATCCTGATTTTTTTTTATATAAATTGTCATCCTGAGTTTTTTTTTTTGCAAAGTTGATTATCCTGCCTTTTTTTTCCCTCAAAACTCCTGTCCTGCCTTTTGTTCAAATTTCATCCTAGCCCCCCATAAAAATCAAAGGGTAGCTCCCTAAATGACTCAGTTTTGTATAAGAAATGAGTTTGAATTCACTTATCCAGGGTAGATACTCTAGGAAATTTCTTGTACGATCCTGATACACCTGATATTAAAACGTTTCTGGTATATTTTACCTGTGTTTGGCCCAATTGCGGTATTTATTTTTGGCGCAATGAATAACCTTGCAGCGCAAATGAAATACTGAATATTTAAAAAATTGGTGCAAATGCAATGCACCCGTCTTCACTGTGCAATTTTGAAAAATACTTAAAGAAGAAAATGTTATTTCGTTTTAAATCAAATACAAGTTCTTGAACGTTCTTGTTTCATTCAAACTATCCTGAATGTATCTTTATTCTGTTTTTTTAAAACCTGTTGTGCTTAATTCCCTGTGTAAAGAAAGATCTTTATCAATGAGTGTATTATAACATACAATAAATCAAATCGAATCAAATTGGTAAACTCATTATACTTATTTACATTGTTCATGTTGTTTGTAAATCCTCCCAAAAAAAGTTTACAACAAGAATCACTATAAACAGTACAGGGTATGACTTTAATAGACCGTCGTCAAGGGATTTCATTATGAAGTATATTAGTGGTGTCTTCCTGGAATACGTACATTTTATAAAATATCTAATCCTAGACTTATAATTGAAACAAATAAATGAAATAAGTTGTGTTTATAAATAATAATAATTTTATTTGCAAAATACACCCATATGGGTCAAGCAAACACAAATACAAACATATATAATACAGAAAGTGAAGAATTACAAATATAAACATAAAAAATTCGTAAGGGTTCCGCGGAACCCAGTGTCTCGCCTACTTTTGCTGTTAATCGCAGGCTCAACAAAAATGAGGAAAAAAATTAATAAAAATATTCCTCTCTATACTATCTGTTGATTGTAAGTAGCTTCTGTCCAAGTTTGGTAAAAATCCAGGATAGTTTATCAATCTAATAAATGTTTTAAAAACTTAAAGTGCAGACTGTATGTAATGTTAACTGGAAGAAAAACTAAGTCCATTTACAAGTAAAATACGGAAAAAATGGAATTTATTTTTTACTTTTTTACAAAATTTACTTCTGGATACTATCTTTTGATCATAAACAAGGTTCTTTCCAAGTTTGGTAGAAATCCAGGATAGTTTAAGAAAGTTATTAAAATTTCAAAAACTTTAACCACAGAGTGAATGTAATGTTTCATGGCAGAAAAACTAAGTCCATTTATAAGTAAAATACAGAAAAAATGGAATTTTTTTTTTACAAAATTTACTTCTGGATACTATCTTTTGATCATAAACAAGCTTCTTTCCAAGTTTGGTAGAAATCCAGGATAGTTTAAGAAAGTTATTAAAATTTCAAAAACTTTAACCACAGAGTGAATGTTATGTTTCTTGGCAGAAAAACTAAGTCCATTTATAAGTAAAATACGGAAAAATTGGAATTTTTTTTTTACAAAATTTACTTTTGAATATTATCTTATGATCATAAACAAGCTTCTGTCGAAGTTTGGTAGAAATCCAGGATAGTTTAAGAAAGTTATTAAAATTTGAAAAACTTTAACCACAGAGTGAATATTTGTGGACGCCGCCGACGACGACGACGACGACGCCGACGGAATGTAGGATCGCTATGTCTCGCTTTTTCGACAAAAGTCGAAGGCTCGACAAAAAACATAGTTATAAATGGTAATGTAACCCTTGATGAACATGGACCTCATTTTCACAGTTCTAAAGATTGCTTTATAAAGTCACCAACTTCTGTCAAAAGCTCAGATTCAGGATTT